CTTTAAACCTCCTAGTCTGGCTGAAAGGAGGGCACTCAAAACAACACGGAGATACTGAAGATGACTCTGCATGAGCTGTCTCAAACATCAGAAGCTGCAAATCACTATAACGTGACATGGCTCTGCTGGTTCCCCATGTAGCAGCTATCCCATTCAGATCTTACCTGTTTTTTCCTGTATGATGTTGCTTGTGTAGTCTAAGTGTACACCACAGACCGTATCTATATCCCAGTGAACTTGGTGCAGAGTGTTTCTCTTAAGTGGATTTTAGCTCAAGCTAACTCCATGATAACACCTGATGCTGTTTACATTCATAATGTCCCTCTGGTAGATTCACGCGGCAGATAGGTTGTTCATAAATCTTTAGTTTCATGAAAAACCTCAGTGATGTTTTTTTCCCTGATTTTCTCCATCTTTTGTTTTTTCTTGTGGAAAGGAAAGTACGTAGGCCTCTCTCTGTGGATGATTTGTTACTTTAACAAAGCAGCTGTGGAGCCTGAGAAGATTGCACTCAGATTACAGTCTTAAAATAGTGGATGGACTTGATATTTTTCCTTCCAACCATCTTACAATTGTTGTCATAAGAATGAATGATAATTGCATTGCTCCGTATTGTCACTACATTTCTTGTCATATGAATAGGTTCGTTTAGTGCCACCATCTTGGGTAGTTATGAAAATGAGGCATCTGAACTTAAGACTGTTATATTTTTTTCCTCTCTGATCAAGACCCAGATCCTAGGGTCCAAGCACAGATTTTAAGTAAATGTTTTACATGCTGTGTTTGCATCGTGTGGTTACAAGCTTTACAAATATGATGCAGCGTTACCCATTACTTTTTCATATGCTAGAAAAATACATGTAAGTTTATATGTTTTAGGGTAAAAAGGGATTGAGTGGCAGAGTTAGGAGTAGAACTGAAGTATTCCATTTTTCAATGCCATAGCCAGTCGACTAAGTTGTTTTTTTTTTCAATAGAGATGCTATGGAGAATATTTTGGGTTGGGGATAAGAGGTAAGAAATCCTCATTGCTGGGAGTCACCAGGCGTGTAGCTGCTCCAAGGTTCTTCAGAGATACAGAAGATCTGTTTTACTATAGGCAGTAACTGAATTAACTGAAGTTACATGGTTGAGTAGGCAAAATAACAGAAATACCAGGTAAAGAAAAATGTCAAACTCGTTTGGTTAAGCATTAATCTTCAAATATAGAATACTGGATTTATTTTATTTCATTTTTGTCTAAATGTACAAATTTACACCTTTTTATGCAGAAGACTTGACAGAGAAATTCATCCTGATATAATAAGCACAGCTCCACTGAGATCAACGGTGATATTTAAGCTGAGGATAGGACTCAGCTTTCTAATTTGCCAGCAGCACACGAAATGATCATTTGTGCTGGCACTCGAGTGAGAGATGAATTGGACGACAAATGTAAAAATTACAAAGCAAACCTTAGTTCCCACTTGAAAGGTGGTTCATTTAGTTTGCTTTGCTTTGCGGTGTGGTTGAATTCATACACGCACACTGAATCATTCAAAAGAGGTCAAAGTTACCTGTTTCTTGCTGTGGCTCTCTGTTTTCTGGTTTCTTGGTTTCCTCTGGAAAGCCTGCTTTCTTCTGTCTCTAGAAGACCCCTTTCCTTGATAGGCTTTGATTTATTTTCTCTGCTTTTATAGCCTTCTGTAACTCTGATTCCCCTGTGCCCTTGATTATCTATAGACACTGGTTATGAGATGATTTATCTTTGGTACAGGTAAAGGGATGCATTTTACCTGCAACTTGTATGGCTGAAAATGAGGTAACAGTAACAGAAAGAATATACGAATAACTAGATGAAGGCCAGTCTGATGATTGTATGGTCTCTCACACACACCTTCGTGTAAGTGTATATTGAACATAACATCTGTATGTCACAAAATCTGTACGTGAAAGTAATTGGTGCTTTCCCTGGATCTGTGTTTCTCTCAGGACAGATATCAGTGGATGGATTTATGCGGTATCTGAGTGGAGAAGAAAACGGCGTTGTTCCACCTGAGAAACTGGATTTGAATGAAGATATGTCTCAACCACTGTCACACTATTTCATCAATTCCTCACACAACACCTACCTCACAGGTACAGTGTTGGAGAGATCCGATTTCTTATCTTTGAGAAATTCATAGCATATTTGCAGTGATACCATAAAATATACTATGAGTAAGTAAAGCTTACTTTTTGTATATATTACAATATCCTAAGAGCAGTAAACGATGGAGGAGCATAGTCTTCAGGGAAGCAAGGGTAGCATTTGATTGTTGTTCTAGCTGCTATACACATACATCAAATATACTTCAATTAACAGGTGAGCAACAGTTACATTGTTCAGATAAGGTCTGGTCTGAAGCCCAGTGAAGTCCCTGGAAAGTTTCCCTCAACTTAGATGGGATTCCAGGTTAAGGCCCTTATTTGGGGAGGAAAGGGAACAATGTACTTTTTGTGACAAACAAGGATACCCAAACAAGTATATGAAGTAGAATGTGGGAAACATCACTGTAGCTAATAAATTTACTCCTAAGCATCAAATCTGGCAGTTTGTTGACCTCCATCAAATTTGCTTTGATTTAGACATTAGAGAGATCCCAACGTGGCGTGTAGCTTTCTGACAGTCCATTCGTATCTGCAAGGAATAGAAGTCTAGTCTCTGACTATATCTAATGTCTGAGCTGAAAGTTTTAGGTGCTATCATGTTTTTAAAAAGGCTGAGCACCTGGAAGCTCCTGTTAAGTTGAATTAATGAGTCTGAACTGTATTGTTTGCACAGCGAAGTCAGCAATGCTTTAAGATTCCGAAAAAACTAAGACAGTTTAGGAATCCAACTTTTAGCACTCGTTTTCTATTCTAACATGCTGTCTTAAAAAGGTTGAGCACCTGGAAGCTCCTGTTAATTTGAATTAGAGTTAATAAGTCTGAACTGTATTGTTTGCACAGCGAAGTCAGCAATGCTTTAAGATTCTGAAAAAACTAAGACAGTTTAGGAATCCAACTTTTAGCACTCGTTTTCTATTCTAACATGCTGTCAACTTGTGAGAAAATAATTGTAAATTTACTGTTTTACTTTAGTTTATGTAGGAAAAAACCGTTTTTGACAAGCAGATGTGCACAGGGAGTTCTCTCCTATTTGATGTGATGTTCGCTTTGTCTTGTCATGTTTGCTAATGACTTAGCATTATTTAAAAAAAAAAGTAGTAATGCTAAAGTGTGTGCTAAAAATGTGGCTCATGGATAACGTAGGCTTTTTTATGTTATTAACAGACTTGCTTAACTGACAAAGTTCTTCACAATGCCAGTGTGCCAAAACATAAACAAAACCACGCAGGGGTGATGCCCAGTTTAAACAGAGCATATGGTAGTTACTTTCATCTGTTTTGTGTTTGTTATAGCACTTTCTACAACACCTTCTAGTACGTTCATAAAGTGAATGAACTGTCATTGTTTCCATTAGACACCATTTTTCAGAGGTTTATATCTTGGCTGTAAAATATGTTTTGTGCCAAAACTTGGCATATAAGTATTCGGCTTGACAGCTATTTTGTTTCTCTGAATTAAAAGAAATGAAAATCAGTGTGGCTACTTTTAAGTTATGATTCCAATATGCAGAAATTTATGCTCTTTGGAAGAGTGCAGACATGTCCAAAGCAAAAGCAATTTTTAATTATGATATTTTGCAGGCCTCTTACCTCCAGTATGGACTTTGTTCCGTCAGTGAGGATTAGGACCTACTTAAGCCAAATGCTGCAGTTTTATACAGCTTTTCTGGAAGAAAACAGTAAAACTGTTGTACAAATGTGGGAAGCATAGGCCCACAGGGAGGACAGAGGGTGCAGTTTAAAGTTGGTCTGAAGAGATAAAACACTACTCTCCCCTCTGCCAGCATGAATTTGTAGCCAGTACCATACCACAGATTTTTGTTGGGGCTGATCAGGACAGAGTCATGTCCTGAAGGTCTGGAAGCACAGAAACCAAAGAGCAAAGAATTAAGGATGGGAATTCATGATTAGTCCAACCTATTCTAAATTTTGTAATTGCACCGCAAGTGACCTAACATATTTAATTATTTTAGGAGAAAGAAAATGTATCTTGAAACTTTCCAAATTTAGTTTGACTTGTATGTGAAAGTCTGCAAATCGTCTGAGATTGCACCTACAGGTTTCTTTGCCTGCATTTCTAAATAATTTCAGAAGCTACATTTGGAAGTATCATCTTCAGTCTTAATTTAACATCATATTCCTGGCTTAGTAAATTCGGGAGAGTAAATCATAGTAAACTCGGGGGAATAGTGCAAAATAAGTTTGAATCTCTTTCAAATTCCATTTCGGAGTGTGTATTTTCACATTTACAGGCGCAAAGCACAGGCCCTTCCCTTTCAGTGGGTTCATTATGTTCGGTAAATATGTGGCAGCTGACTGACAATGGGATTAATGATTTGATTTTCATCCACGTATTACAAAAACTGACAACCTTAGATTTTGCTTTGAGGCTAGACCAGATACAGTAATCATATTGCCATTTGCTTTCTTCCAACAAGGACTTCGTAAAATCAATAAAATTAATGGTGGCAGACTATTCTTTTTCCCAGGAAGATTTCGAAGAGTCTGCTCTGGTGCTCATGGCTTTGGAAGGAAAGCTTTGGTAGCACCTCTACCCTCATTGGAGCTGTGAAATAGCAACTAGTCATGTAATAATTATTAGGACAATAAGAAAACTGTTCAGTCTAGCAAGACTTTATGATAACTGTGCTTAATGCCCTACCGATTATCTCTCCCTTTGTTAGTTTTTTAAACCTAGAAAAAGCATGCACAAAGAAACAACATTATAACATAAAAAGAAACGTGCGCACTCTGAATTTATTTTTAATTACCCTGATAATTCTCCTAGCCTTTTGTAGAAACCCTTGGCAGTACATCAAGTCCTGATTATTTATTTAGAAGTGTTACTGCTTTCTTAGGTAAATGTAAATTTTAAGAACAAAGGTAAAAATCCACGAAGAAAGAAGTGATTTATAGTGAACCTAGGCTAGCTTAAAGAAATGTCATCTTTTGGAAACTTTTTTTACTATCTCTCATCTTTTTTTCTCCCTGGTATCATTCATTTTATTTATTTACTCCTTTGCACCCTTAATGTGCAACCCTGCTTTTTTCTGGTTTCTCACCAGCCTCACCTCAGATTACTGCTGTTGTCACAGTGGGGAGTGACTTTGCAGCATTTTTCTCAGCAGCATCCAAAGTCAAAGACAAATGATGACGTATTGTTGTCAGCATTGCACGCTTTGATGGCTGCGCAACTTGCTGTTGTATATATGAAATGCAAAATCTGAAAATCACAAGCCTGTAATGCATGTTTTGTCTTTGGCTAAAAGGAAAAATAATAGCAGCAGAAGGTTGCAGAGCTATCAGTTTAGTGTGCGTAGCCAACGTGGGACTATCGCATTCACCCTCAGCATCTGCTTCCCTCCTTACAGTCCAGTACTTTCAGTTGTTTCTAGAAAAATGTCTCATGAGGGCCATGCTCTCTTCTTCTTTATTGCTACTGTGGCTTCTCCTCTACCGTCCTCCAGCTTTTCTGTTCTCAGTCATTCCTCAGTCCTAACTGTTCTGCTTATTATCTGCATTCAGCACTTCCTTGAAACCTCCTTCACCTTCAAAACCTCCAAAAGAAGTATCTTCACAGTTTCCAAGATGACGGCACCATATGGAAGGGAAGGAAAACTGGGTGATGCCTGCTCTGAGCATGAGTTTGTCATACCACCACGAGCAGTTCTTGGCTGGCTGCTGCGTTGAGCTCAGGTGATCGGCTGGCAAGACCCAAGGCTCTGCTCTCTTCCAGTCCCACCACATCCTTCCTGATGGACTAGAGGGTCGGAAAGCTCAGGGGGCTCCTGCAGCAGAGAGGAGCTGAGCTGAGGAGCAGCTGTAGCTGTCTACCCAGCTAATCCTGTCCAGCAATCTAAGGCAGATAAATGAGGTTCTTCCTGGCGCTGGGGTCACAGTTTATCTTAGCACAAGGGCTAACAAGTAAAAAGGAGTAGTGGTTGTTGTGCAGCTTTTCCATCCATCGGCAGTTTAAGGGAGTTTTTGGGTTTTTTTTAGTTTCCAGCTGTCATTTTTCATGATTCCCCTTCAGAATATCATAAAACTTTGTGTAACACTGAGGAAAAGGACTGAGTTTTCAGAGATGAAGTTAATTAGAACATGATGGCTTCACCTCGCAGGAAGGAAGCTACAGACCACTATCTGGGCCCTGTGGCCTGTTCAGGGCAACTGTGGAAGCTGCTTCCACAATTACATCATTGAATTGACTGTAGCCATTAAAAAAAAAAAAAAAAATTCAGTAGAGGGAAAGCTGTTGTTGCTTCACAAAGTGGAAAGATAATCTCTGTGGAAGGTCTTAGGTGGAACTTTCTGAGATACCGGTTTGGTGCCCTGCTCCCCCAAAATATCCTATGTATAAAAAAAATAGCTTCAATAAGATGATGAGTCCCATCTGCCTGACTCTCTTGCCATCTTCCTCTGAGGCAGTTTGACTTTTGTGAGAAGATGACTACTCATTTAAGCAGACTCTGAGTAAAAATTCCTTAGGTCTCCTGCTCTGTCATGTTTTTACATGACTGCTCTAATTTTGACAGCTGAGTGTTCATACTAGCACTGTTAAACCTCAGTTTATCTTTTTGTTGTCCTAAGGGGTACTTGCCTTCCCTTACCAACTTCACCAATGCCAGTTCCCTCTTTCTGAAGTCATCCTCTAACTGAGGGAATTTCTACTTTTAAAAGTGAGTTAAAACCTTGTAAAAGGGAGAGAAAACATCATACAGATTGTATCCTTAAGGGAAAATTAATTATTCTAATACAGATCAGCAACTGACATCAAAATCTCTAGAGGAAGCTTGCCTCCGGTAGCAGCAGAGGTGAACATAAAGAGTTTAAAAAAATACATTGTTTGGTCTGATCTGAAATAACTAGATTCTCAAGGAGAAGAAATGTCAAGATCATGAAAGTGTTTTGTTTCATTTAAGCAATATTTCATTCGCTACTGCTTAGTGAGTTTTCAAGATCATCCTCTATGCCTTCTCTTGCCTCTTTAGGCCAACCAGTTGAAGCATATTGAAATAGGAGCTATGTTATTTGAAGCATATTGAAATAAGAGATATGTTATTTTCTACACCTTGCTCTTTAAGGAGGATAAAACTGTGTTGAGGATTGGGTAACCTCTCTGACTCCAATAGCAGCGTTTGAAGAGCTTCAAATAGCTGAAATCCGTAAGACAAAGATACGGAGAGCTGGCAGCAGGGGAAGGGTGCTGTGAGTAGGTCCTGGTGGGTCCCACTCCCTCACTGCAGTTGGAGAGACTCAGCTGGTCATGCAGTCTGTCTGTCTCAAGTGGGTCCCACAGCCAGGACGAGGGTTACCCCACGCAGTCCATGCCGGATAGTGTCCGTCAGGTAGCCTGGCTGCAGCGTGGGAGCTGCCCGGGCTCTGCTAGCGGCTGAGCTGAAACGCAAACTCAGAGGCTGGCCAGCCTCAGCCCTCCTGGCGTACGCAAGTATTGCATCTTCTGCTTGGATGGGCCTGAATCAATACTGACAGCAAGTG